CAGGACTTGTAATAGTTTACATGGAGGGTTAGGGTTAGGGTTAATAGTTTACAAGGGTTAATAGTTTACATGGAGGTAGTTTACATGGAGGTCACCGTTTTTCATATTTGTTGAACACGTGATTGCCCTTTTCTGTATTCTGATCCAAAGTGGATAATGGGAAATGTCTGCCCTGCATGAATTGTCATTTTCTCTGACCAATTTCACAATGGATGGTGTCTCGTTTGTTAAATCCTTGATTTGTAACTGGACCTAGACAGGTGCAGTAGACTGATTCAGACGTTTTCTAAAATGACCAAAGAAGCTTTCTTTTATTGTACAGAAGGTACAAGTGGACCCATAGATCAGAGGGCTAGAGTTATGAGCCATGTTGACTTACTGATGCTTGTGTTGGTCAGTGTACCTGTAAGTATTGGCAAATACTGTTTTATCTGGAAGACTCATTGTTTGCACTGATGCAGCGAGAAGCTCAGTATTTTTCCTCTGTTACTCACAGCATGGTGAAAATTGGCAAAGTTTTAGAGCAAAATAAATGTTTCAGATGCTCAGTGTCTTATCTAATGTGTGATTCTTAATCTTTTTAACTAATTATAATTGAAAACAGAGACGTTTTATCCTGCTGTGTTGACAGATAACACCATAGAAACCATTAATTAACGTTAATATATCAACACTCCCTCTTGTTTTAGTTGTTGTCTCTTTAGGTGGAATAATTTCAGGGTGATGTCAGGTTCCAAACTTGTGTTACTCCTACACCTTTGTGTACATTTGTATTGCAGATTGTGCTTTTAAAATCTGGATCTTGTTTCCAGAAATCATGGTTTTGGTCCGGTTCCTGGTTCGTGTCTGCTGCCCCCTGGCCAGGGACCCTGTGTCACTTCTGTCTTTCTATCATACTATACTACATACTATACTATACGCGTTGGTAGGAAGCTGAAATGCTATGACTTAACAAAGTCACTGGCTCTCAGTTACAGTAATTATGTAGTTCTGTCATGTTCTCTGGACTATATGATTATATTTGCATTAGTCGACAGTAACACATTGATTTAGTTTTCATTTTGCTGATTTTTTTTGGAAATTCTCGTTTGCAGCGCTCGGTGGAAACATAACTACTGTGACTGGCACTGGCAGCTAATTAAACTGTAGAGTGTATAATATGACAGTACTTTGCTAAAAGTACTGTATCAGAGTTCACCCTAGTGCTGATTTGGTAAATGATCTGATTCAAATAGAAGTTAGAAAGGTGGTATTACCTAAGAACTGCTTTATGTTAAATACACATGAACTATAGTTGTGAAGGAAGTTCAATTCACTGACAGTCACTCTCTTTGGCAGTAACATCAGAAGATACTACACAGTGTTAGAAGGTTCTGTGACTCTACAACGGAGAACCTTTTTGGAGTGCTGCTGTCTGTCTGTATCGTGGAGAGGCTATGGTACAGTAAAAACTGGAAATCGCTGTGTTTGAGTTCATGTGGCTTCATAAAAAGAGTTTGTTTAGCAACAGCACCCTGCTACTGTCTGATGTCAACTAGAAAGCTGCAGACAGTAATTCGCTTCTAATTAGACATATTTCCTTATGGCCCTAAGGAGGTAACATTAAACTACACAAGTATACTGTGTGAACGTCTACTCCTGTGTGTGTGTGTGTGTGTGTGTGTGTGTGTGTGTGATAAACTCCGTGAGTGGATGAGTTGTGAACTCCTGCTGTTCTGTAACTCTTCACCTTGCTCCTGCCAAGTCTTCATTAAACAGTCTGATTCAGTTACCAGTAACTGGAGCTCAATTAGGAGCATTTGATTTTCACTGTTGGACGTGATGGCGACTGCTGATAACCACTTCTTATGGACAGAAGTGAGACAGATGCACTATGGCGAGCTGCAGAAGTTTTCAGCCTCATGCTGTTGTCAGAAGGACCTCTGGTTATAGAGTATCACAAGTTCATCACATACCAGCTGAGTGAGTTGCCAAAGGACTAATTCGAGACTAGAAATGCTGAAAGAAAGAAAGTCGTTATTATATTTGTTTTTCCTTTGTTTGTTTTTCTCTTCTCACCTTAGTTGGCTGCTGTGAAATTCTCTACTATGATAAATGTCAGGACGCCTCTTGCCGTTCAATCTAGGTTTAGACCAGTTGTGATGATGATGATGATTACCCGTAACATTTAAAGTTTAACTTAATCCTGGTTGTGAGGTCATTTTGAGCAAAATACAATCTGTGATTGGGATTGTATGTTTGATATAAACCTTTTCCAGGGGAGACAGAAGCAGCACAGGTGATCAAAATGTGGCTCTGTTTCATCAAGTATTTCTGTAAGCCATGAGAATCAGCCAGCAGGCACAATGGCAGGACTCGGCTCACCTAAATGGAATGCAGTTGCTTTTAATATTCGGTTACACCTCCACTTTTCCTGCTTTGACTTTTCCTGCTTTGACATGCCAAACATGTCTGCTGTGAGGAAAGTCTATTAGCCACACTAACGAAATGGCTCTAGGGACAACAGTGTCAGTCTGTCTGTTAGTGAGTTATTTGTGCACCACACTGAAATATCTCAACAACTATTGCATGTATTTCCATTTAGACTCTCATGTTCCCCATAGTATGAATTGTGGTAGCTTTGGGGATCCTCTGACCTTTTAATGTAGCATCAAGTCAAAACTTTAGTTCGTCCAATACTTTGTTCATAACTAAACACCTAAAAACTATTAGCCTTAGGACTGTGACACACCAAGCCGACTGTCGGCCACTGTTGGGCCATCGGAAAGCATCTCTGAGGGCTTGTTCTTGGTGTGTCCCTCACCGTTGGCACTAATTGGGCCTTTTCTGTCCGATTCAGTGTGTTGAATCTGGATCGGACCTTGTTGGCTAGAGAGGACACTCTGATTGGCTGTTCAGCCTAAGAAAGAGATTTAAAAAAAGAACGCAGGAGAGAAGGAGATGCCAGCGCATTATGAAGAAATAAAAGGATGCCAGTACAACAGCTGTGTTTGTCAAATCCATGGTTTCAGGGAAGACGGCACCATGAGAGCAACGCTCGCACTGTGCAATGGAAACACAACGCTGTACTGGGGCCAGGCCGCCTGTGCCAATAGCTGGCCAGCTGTCCCCCGGTGGCGGTGGAATGGCGGCATAAAACTTGTTGTGAGATTTGCAGGATTGTGTTCCGATAATCTGCCTGGATTGCCATTTTGTTTTTGCTCTCACAGTTGAGGCTGCCATCACGTACTGTACAAATGAGTTGTTTTCAGTTTAGGAGTGTTTCTTATTTTGCCTGACCTATCAGCAGTAGATGACATAATGCTCTGTCAAAATCATTTTTAGTCCAAACAAGAAGAGCATTTGCAGATTTTTGCCTGTACAACTGTGTCAGTCTCATTCACACTTGAAGCCATTTTCTGTCGCTGTTTTCCTGGCTCAGAGACAGAAAGATGATGTCCATATTCTTAATCCTGCCAGCAATGCTCCGACTGTCTGAGTTGTTTTTTCCAACTGTGTAGACAACCGTCAGTGAGCACACCAACAAACCTATTAGATTTTCCAGAAACAATCTGATGTGGGAAGGAATTTAGAGGTCTGGGTTCTGATCTGTTGTTATGAATGTGTGTGTTTTGTGTTGATGACACTGGATGTCACGTGCCTGTTATGGTTAGTAAAGTTATACTGAATGTTAGCATGGCTATGTAGTCCCAGACGTTGTTTGTCTGTCTGTCTGGTGGCATCACAGCAGGAGATTGGTATGTGTGTGTATGTGTGTGTGTGTGAAAGAGGAAAGAGATCAGGACTAAGTCACAGACTAAGCATTTTATGAGAATTCTTCCTCTTCACTTGTTGCAGTGAATAAAGCTTGATCCCACACTGACACAGGAGATTATGAGGGTTTTTTTGAGCTGACACTTCCTGCTGCTTAGCCTTAAATTCTCAGCTTAGCTCCACAGAAAATCTCCTTTACTCCATTTGAAGACCTATTTTTGTGGCTGTTTGGAGTCTTCACCTTGGCCTGGAGATGCTGGTAGAAGAAGTAAACTTTTGATAAGCAGTTATTTCTGAATCACAGATACCAAGTATTCACTTGTTCCAGTCTTTCTCTGTTTTGTTGTGGATGTTTTTAAAGAAAAAACAAGATGTCATCTTGGATTCTGGGGATTTCTGATGGATAGTTTTCACCATTTTTATAGCCAAATTTTTGAATCGGTTTGTTGAAACACTACTCAACATTAATTGATGGAGCACTAAATGCTGCCAAACACACCTGGTGAGTGCATGTATGTCAAGTTCTGCTATAATGCTGATGAAAGCAGCAACATCCTATATGAAGACTGAGCTGATTTTCTGTAGGTCCAAGTAGAACGGAGCCTTCTTACCAGTGCAGTTGGATGAAGATAATCAATCCCTCTTTCATTCATTTTTGTGTGGAAATGAAGGAAACAGCCATATCACGGCAGTTGATGCCGCAAGAGGGATGGCAGGTCTGAGCTGCTCTTCGAGGTTGCCGTAGAAACCAGCCAGGGCCATTTGTTCCAATTTGCTCTGTGGCGCTGAGATCAAAAAGCTTGGAGCCCAAAGTGCTCTCTGCATATTAGCATCTGTGTTTGAGTCAACACAATTAGGCATCCACTCACCTCATTTCATCTATACTGTTAATTTACAGTAAAACATACTTGGGCTCTGTTTTCTAGGCAATACAAGTTGTCTTATGTTATATGGGGTTTAGAGTTTAATGTGTTTGAACCGTGTTGAACTTTGTGGTTTGTTATTGTCCGATTAGGCCTTGACTTGATGTAAAGGCATCTCGCAGGTCCTCGTTTTTCTGCCAACCTCATGAAGTCTCA